CGCCCCGCTGCGCCTCCCTCACCGCCTCCCTCTGGAGAGGCGGTCATCAGGGGACGCCGTGCAGGCTGGAGCCCCTCTGGACTCAGGCGTTAAACCAGCCACCGCCTCCGCCCCACTTCCTCCGGCTCCGCTTCCCTCACCTTCCCGCTCCGTCTGAGGATGTGGGAATCCGCCCGCGCCCCAGCCCCCTCCGTGGCTGCGGACCCCTCTCCCACCCAGTGACCTCCTGGCCCACTTCCTTGCCCAGAGGGGCCTGGGTTGGCATCCGGCTCCCGCGTGCCCCGCAGGTCGTCCCCGCTCCCCCCGGCCTGTTTCCTGTACCGTTCACTCCGCCAGGACGCCTCGTCGCGAGAGGGCCTGGCGGAGGTGACAGTGAGGGGGTGCTAATGCTGTCCCTTCGTCCCTTTCTTTCACTTTAGTTCTTTAATTTTAAACTTCTCATAAAATCTTCACTATTCCTCACTTACAACAGAAACCCAAATCGGTTAGAGCGGTGATTTTTATCACTCTCCCCGTGAGCTGCAGGAGAGACTTCACCTGGCATCCTGATGCCGCAGGGGCCCCCAGAGAGCAGACTGGATCCCAGGCTTTCCTCTCTGTACCCTCTCCCCTCTCCCTGAAGCTAGACACAGCCCTACTCCCGCTTGGGGAGCAGCGGAAGAGCCTGTGGCTCCCCACTTCTGACTTGGGAGATGGTGGGCTGATCCTAGGTGGGAAGCGCAGGCGCAGGCCATCTAAGGGATGGATGGATGTGGCCTACCAGGGCTTTGCCTACCACAGAGCTCAGAGCACGGGTTCCCTGTCGCTAACAACTGTTGTGAAGGGAATCCCATCCACACATCTCCCAAATAGCTGGGGCCATATCCGGGCGGCCCGTGGCTGTCCAGTGACCACCATTCCTCACTGGTTCAGGACACTCCTCCCTGGGGCAGTGCTGCCAGCCATCAGGAATGCTGGGGGTGTTGGGGGTGGCCTGCCCAGCCTGACACTGACTCTCCATGCAGATGGGACTGGCGAGGGCCTGGCACGGGGCTGCATAGTGCCTGGAGTCACCAGCACCTACAGACGGATCCCGGACGCTGCCCACGGGTGCTCATCCTGGGAGAGAGGTGACAAGCTCAGAGGTGTCAACAGGGAGGCGCTGTTTCTCAAACTGGCTTCCCGGGACTCAGGAGTGGAGATGGCAGTTGGGGACAGCCCCCTGGCTGCCTTACCAGGCCTTTCTCAGGACTCCCTGGACTTTGAATCCTCAGGGAGTCCCGAGCCCCCAGCCCCTGTAGACCAGCCCCTGGCCAGCCAGAAGCTGGGACAAGTGCTGGAGCATTCCCACCGGCTCCCAACAGCTCCCGCTAGCTTGTCAGGACAACACCGCTGCCTGCGGCCGCCCAGCAAGTGCGAGCGTGAAGTGCCCCTTTTTGGAGCAGGGGAACCGGAGTCCATGGAGGCAGACACAGACCTAGAGGCAGGCCTGGAGGAAGAGGCGGTGAGTGCCCACTCTCAGGCTGGGTTTAAGAGCGGGATGGACAGCCTAGCTCCTCTGGTTCTCCCTGGAGCTCTCTCGGGGTGCGGCACTCCCTGCCCCTAATTGCTGGGTTGTGTCCTAGATTCTTGCTGCACCCCACTTCCATTTGTGCGTGGCCACCTCCACAGAGGAGCTGGGCAGCTTCGGGCCCTGCCTGGCACCATGCCCCGCTGGGCAGTGGGGAAGCTGGCTGCGTGTGTTCCTCCTCGGGGCCCACTCCGCTCCTATCTGCTGGCTGAGCCCAGCCTGGCTGCTTGGGGTAGGGAAGGAGCCTGATTGAAATCTCCCCTATCTCACAATGTCCCGCAGGTGGGGGGCCTGGGGCCTGGAGCCTGGGCCTGCCTCCCTGGGCAGGGTCTTCGCTATCTGGAACACCTGTGCCTAGTGCTGGAGCAGATGGCAAGGCTCCAGCAGCTCTACCTGCAGCTGCGGATCCAGAGGCCCCCAGGGGTGAGTGAGATGCGAGTGGGGGTAGTCGGGCCAGCGAGTGGGGGAGGGAGAGGACAGATGGGACCCCGGGAACTGTGGCTGCCCTCAGAACAGCCTCACCCCTCTAACCAGGCCCTGATCACCTGTCTTTCCTGTGCACAGGATCCCGGTGAGAAGAAGTCAGCCCGAGCCCCTTTACCGTCCCCCTTACACACCCCAGGTAATGGGGGGCAGCGGCCATGGGAGCTGCTAAGCCAGACAGAGCAGACAGGTGAGGGGCCATCGTGTCGCCCTTTGTCCTGCATGCCTGGGGCCCACCAGCAGGTCCTCTGAGCCGAAGCTTGATGGGCTGTCTTCTGGCCCTGGCCAACCTGATTCTTTTTCTGAAGGGGCAAAGGCTGCTTCACCCCCAAAGGTGGAGGTGCCCAGCGCCAACCCTCCCAGGCTGCCAGAAACCCCAGTGGAGCCAGCGTACCACTTGCCATCCTCCCAGGGACACAAGGTAGGGGACGGGTGTATGTGGGGCAGGTGGTGGGCTGGAGTGGGGGGAGGGGAGGTGGGGATGCATGGGCATTCTGGGGGCCAGCAACTCTGGGAAAATGACAGGATTGATTCCTGTTTGGAGCAGGCGACTCATTCTGGCTGTGGTGACAACTGTCTCTGGGAGCTTGGTTGGGGGTCTGAGTGTGGGGAGGGCTCTTGGTGACCCCTCCTCCTCTGCTCAGCGGGATTTCTCCCACTGGGACAAGGTCAAGGTCCTGCTCAACCGGATCTGCCGGAGAAGCCACCACCACCCTGAGCCCCCTGCCCCTCCTGATGGCTCTGACCCCAGGTGAGCCCCGTGCCCAGCCCAGGTTAGGGCACGGAGAGGAGACTGATGAGCCAGGATGCAGAGATTGTCATGCCAGTTGTCAGTATTGTCCCCGCAAAACTTGAGAGGCAGTCTGGGAGGGGCTGCTAGAAGAAACAGTAGTTAAAACACCCTATTTGCAGATAAGGAGGCTGGGTTCTGGGTGCGGTTGGGGGTAGTTGCTTTTCCAAAGCCACACGTCAGCGACAGCCAGGACCAGAATGTGGGAAATCTGCCTACCCCAGCTCAGCAACCCCTCACCCTCAATGCTGACATTTAGGCCACCTCCCAGGTTTGTGGGGAGAGCAAGGTGGAGCACAAAGGATTTCACAGTGGGTGAAGGCCATCATGCCTCGGGGCTTGTACCGAATACACAGTGGGTGAAGGCCATCATGCCT